CCACCTTTCTTCAGCCCACCCACCACCTCTATGTCACTAACCCCCCTCTGGCTTTTCCCCTGCCACTGTGCCCACCTCTCTCCTGTTCCACCACCACCTCCACCTCCATGTCACTAATCCCCCTTGGACTCTTTCCCTGCCACTGTGCCACCTTTTCTCTGTCCCCCCTTCCATCTCTGTGTCACTGATCTCCCCCTTTGGCTCCTCCCCTGCCACTGTGCCACCTTTTCTCTGTCCCCCCTCCCATCTCTGTGTCACTGATCCCTCTTCGGCTCTTCTCCTGCCACTGTTTCACCTTTCTCCTGCCCCCCACCACCTCTGTGTCCCTGGTCCCCACTCATCTCAGTACAGGCTACAGAGCTCACCCTACCTCTCCCTGTGTGATCCTCCTGCTGCTGCCGCCGCTGCTGTGGCTCTCTATGTACACACATTAGGCAGCTGCGAGGCCCCAGCCTGTGCTGAGGCGGCCGTCTAATTCACCTGCCTACAGTGCAGCTTCTGTGACCTAATTGATCGGTGGATGGAGCAGCAGTTTTCTCAGGGAGGGGGCAAATGCTACGTTGCCCCCCCCCGTCCCTAGATCCGCCACTGTGCCCATGTGGAGCTGTTATTCTACTTCTGTGTTATTCTACTCCTGTATTTCTGTATTGAACATTTACAATAAATCTTTATTTTCTAAATAAAGGCAACCTGTCTGTGACCATTCAGTGTTTAGGCTGGTAAGCACCATAACCTACAGGGATGTATAAATTAAACATGCTTAAATAAACGGTGCATACAAATAAATCCACTGATTAACTTTGTTGACATTTCCTGTCAAGGTAAAATATTGGAATACAATTTAAAATAAACATTCTAAGAATGGAGTTACTTGCAAAAAAAAGATATACATCTAAAAAGAAGTAGATATAATTTGGTCTTAATGCTATATAAATAAACCTGCATACCGGTTCTCAGTCATTATCCCATTCATTAACCAGTTGACATCCGCGGTGTTAAACCCCCTTCCCATCCAGGCAATAAACTTTGCCTTTTTATAAAATATCTGTGACACATTTGTTCCAGTTAAGCATATTTTGTATTGGCATCAGCAAATATCCTTAAATTTTAGACACTTAATATAGAATTATGTATCAAGCCTACACACTTTTATTGTCTTTTTTTAGTAGAAGAAATCGGTGACCAATGTGTTTCTTTCTTTCAGAGCTATCAACCAGTAGGCATCATATAACTGTGGTTTTATTAGGATCAGTTGCATTAGCATTCTTCATATTACTTGTATCCTACTCTATGGCTCGGTAAGTACTTTTAACCTTCTGCACACTTACCTCAGCTAATGTGGTTTCTTTTTATTGATCAGGAATCTTTTTTTACTTTGCAAATCTGTTTGATAAGTTGTCAAAATAGATACACACTACTGAAGGATCCTTGATGGTGAACTACTGTTAATTTTCCCTCTCACTTTTCCCTGTACGTAGAGGGAAATGTATCAAAACTGGAGCAGACAGATTCTGAAGCAGTTGCTCAAGGCAACCTATCAGCGTCTGTCTTTCATTTTCAATGCTCAACCAAACAAACTGAAGAGAGAAGATGATTGCTTATTATGGACAACTGCTCCAGATTCTGTCTGCTGCAGTAATGATCAATTCTAGACATGTGCATTCAGATTCGGACGAACCTGCAAATCAACGAAATCAGTTGATTCGGCAGTTCGTCCGAATCCGAAATAATGAATTTACTATATGCCCGAATATACGAAAACTATATTCGGGCATACATAAATTCGTTTTCAGAACATGCCGGTGGCCATATTGGCTGAACGAGAGGTGGCCATATCGGCCGCTGGTGCATTCTGTGCAAGAACATGCGCAGAACGTGCGCTTGAACATGTGGGCGTCGCCATGGTGGTGTATACCAAGATATACTCCAAAATGGCGGTGCTCACGCGCAGAGTGCATCGTAGACCGATATGGCCGCCGCTTGTTAAGCGGTTTAAGCGGTTATGCGGTTTCAGTGTGCAGTTTCGGATTCGGAGGCAACAACATAAAAATTAAAAACATAAAAACAAAAACGTTTTTTGTTTTCATTTGTTTTGTCTGAAAACTATTTTTTTGTTGTGCACATGTCTAATAAATTCCACCCATAGAATTATAAAAAACAAAACCCAACTTCTGGAAAATAATGGTTTATTCCTCCTGAAAATGGATACATTTAAAAGCAGTTGTCTCATATACTGTATACCCGCATGCTTTTGGTATATCATAAAGTACAGCAAAGAAAGTGTGAAAAGAGATACATTATTGCGTATTCTACAAAGATATTCTAAAATGGCCTGGATAGATTTGTAGGTAACCACAAAAAACATAAATAATTGGATCATAGTAATAGAAAACTATATTTTAACTGTTTCTGTAATTAGTATCACATATGTTTTAAATCTTATGTGCACCAAACTGAACATGGACCAGAAAAAGAAAAGAAGAAATTTGTCTATGAGATCAGAAATAAAATTATAGGCCAGCATGTCAATGCAAAGGCTATGAAACCATCTCCAAGCAGGTTGATGTTCCTGTGACTACAGTTGCAAATATGCGTAGTATTAAGAAATGTAAAATCCATAGGAGCAGAGCCAACCTCCTTGGACATGGCCGCAAGAGGAAAATCAGTTGCAGATTGAACAGAAGAATAGTGTGAATGGTAGACAAAGAGCCAAGGAACACTTGCAAAGATAAACAATCTGAGCTACAAGGCTAATGTATATGACTGTTTAATTGCACCATCCAGCACTTTTTGAGCAAAGGAAGACTCAAAGGAAGACACCATTGTTGAAAGAAAAACATAAAAAAAAAACCATACTGGAATTTGCTGAAATTATTATTCACAAGCCACGGTGCTTCTGGGAGAATGTCTGTTGGACAGATGAGATAAAGCTGTCACTTTATGGCAAGTCACATCAGCTCTTTTGCAGATGAGAAAATTAAGCTTTCAAAGAAAATACCATACCTATTGTGAAAGATGGAGAAGGCTTAGTTATGTTTTGGGGCTGCTTTGCTGTGTCTTCAATCTATGCAGAGCACAAAACATTTTTAAGACTATCAAGGAATTCTGGACCAAAATGTACTGTACTGCCTAGAAAGCTCTATTTTCAGTCACAAGTGATGGGTCCTCCATCAGGATAATGATTTAAAATATACAAAACACACAGCTAAGAGCACCCAAGTATGGCTAAAAACAAAATATTGGAGACAATATTGGAGCATTCTGGCCTTCTGTGAGCCCTGATCTGAATTCTATTGAACACCTAGGGAAAGAGCTGAAACATACAGACAGGAGAAGAAACCATTACAAGCTGAGACAGATAGAGCAGTTTGCTCAAGAAGAGTGGGTCAAACTACCTGTTGCCAGGTGCAGAATTACTTGAAGGTTTGGGCAGGTGGTTGAACTGGTCATATCTGGCAATTTATTTTGCCCGTTCACCTAACTGCAAACAGGCTCGGTTCGGATCAAGCTCATGATTGACCTGAACCCAATGCTCATACCTATCCTGTAATGCCTGGCATGTCAGGATGTAGCAGTGTGTCACCAGGACAACGAATGAGGGGATGTCTACATACAGGGACACCGACAGCAATTAAAAACATGCCCACACCAGGAATATTCTGTACACTGTTTTCATACAGTGTGCCCCCTGACTCAGACTTCCTGTGCTTTCTGACTCAAACAGTGAACTTATAGGCAAGTTCATTCAGGCACCAAAAGTGAATCCCATCATGCCTTTGCCTAACCTGTGAACTCTAGTCAGGTGAAAAATTATTGGCAATAATAGGGCTTTGAAAATGTACTAACCCCCTCATTGATAGGGCCTTTTAATTTCTTTTTTTTTTTGGGTCAGCAGCATGAACGTATTGGAGACACATACAAAACTGCCCTTCGTTAGCAACACATCACCGCACACTATTGCGATCAAGTTTACTCCAAATAATCACCACAGTGTCAAGTGCACCAAAGCAGCACATATTTAACCCCCCTATTGCCATATCTGCTAATAAATTTAGGCAATCCCCTAATATCATCATGCTTGGGAAGCCTTAACAGAGAGGAGAGGTTCCTCATTAGCAACTAGTAAGGGTTGAGCAGGTAGTGCATCTGCTGAATGGTGATTTTGAAAGATGTTTTTGCATGGGTACATGTGTGCCAAGGAAGTGCCCAGCTATCTATCCCTTTGTTTGATCCCTTGCCTATTGGGCCTTGAAAAGGAGAATTGATTTTCAGGGTTTGCCTCTCATTAACTTTCATGGGGTTTACAAAAAAGTTTGCAACTGGTGAACCTATCAGCATGTTTGCGTAATGCATGAGAAAATCGAACCTAGGCCAGTTCACCCATCATTATTAAGGACTGGTAAGCTACACTATAGACAACTTTTGCTCTTTGGTTTAGGTATGCTTTAAGTATACTCAGTAACAAAATTATTGTAAGACAGGACATGCTGAGCCACTGGACCATGACATTATCACCTGCAGCTCTGCCAGTGTAGGAGAAACCAATGTGATGGTTTTGGTTAAATGTCATAGTATTTTGAATATATTGAAAAACAGAGAAGGAATAAGAAATATGTTTTCCTTTTTATCACAGTGTCTTTCAACAGGTATGTTTCTAATAAGTGATGGAAGACATCACAAAAATAAGTTTGAGGATCGCTGTAAAAGAAAAGATATGTAATTATGTAATGGGTTCTGTTGAACCTACGGTGGCTTGTTAATTCAGAAACATAATATGAAAACTGTGCATAAGATGCCTAAGCATCCTAAATGTGTGACTTTCTCAGTATCAATGTCATGTGATTGCTAAAACTATTGGTATGCTTCAGTGGTACTTTAAAGGGAATGTCACATTATCTCTGCATTCCTAGCCAATTAAGTTTTCAGCATACTTTTAGAAATAATAAAGCAATTCATTATGCACACTTCTCTTAAGATAACTGCAAACATGACTTACAAAACAGATGCATTTGGAGATTTAAATATATTTCATTGAAGGCTTGTTTACAGCTTTATGGGCTGCTTTTAATCTGTGTATTGCAAATAATCTTTGAGTGCTGAAGCACACTTTTCTGCTGTGGTGCATTGCGCTAACCTGCTTTATGTGTTTTAGCACCCCAATACACATGTGTTGCAGAGCACCACAATAAATGGTAATGCACGTCCATGCGATGAGGTTTATTATGTTCCTGAAACTGCTGAAAGCAGCTTGTACAGTTTTAAGGCATCTCCCAAGCATGTTATTTAAAGGATTTGTGTTATTTGTTATTTTTTTTATTAAATGTGTATTGCTACTTTAATTGCTCTTGAACTCTCATTAAGAATGAATTTACGACTTCCGGTTCCGGCGCCCGATGTAGCGGACGCAGAGTGTAGAGCTCCCGCGCGGCCAAGGATAATCTTTATATAAAATCGTGCCACGGCACACCACAAAAGAATGAATTTACCATAAAGGATACAGCAGTGGAAAATAGGCCAGCAGCAGGAAATTGTGGGCCCAACATTACTAGAGACAAAGAGCACATTTGGGGGTTTTAATACAAGAATAAAGCGACCACCAAGGATACAGCAGTGAAAAATAGGCCAGCAGCAGAACAATTTAAAAAATACATTTTAGGTCCACATTTACTAGAGACAAAGAGCACAGGTAGAGGTTTTAGAAGGGTTTTAGGATTAAATGTGAGTGATATAGTGTGAAATGTGCACACTGTTACTTTTTTTCTTTCAAATGATACATAGGGGTGCTGCAAACAAAAGGCACCTCCAGAAAAAAGTACCACGCTGGACTGAATATTGCAGTGCTAGCCTGGGAAGTGACCTTCAGGCACTGGGTTCTGCATTTTGACGCTTTTTAGACCTTGGCCATACAGTTTGTGAGTGACTTTGTGAGCTATGCCTTCGGGCTGAAGCATATTGGTATTTCCTCAGCCTATGCTTGGAAGCCCTACCTACTCCCATTGGACTTGCAAATTGCGTGCTAGTCCAGTAGAGGCTGCCCCGTTCCAGTCAGGGAGTCCAGGAGGCTACATAGAAATTAGTGCCTACGTTGTGGTCCAGTGCGATCTGCAAAAATAGTGCTTGCAGTATTTTTGCAGATCACACTGGACCGGATAACGTGCCTGCGTTCCGGGTGTGGGCGATCGCGCTGTGGGCGGGTGGCGTGGCTGCGGTGCCGTTGACTTCAATGCACCGCCACGCCCCCTCCTGCCCCTAAACGCAAGGAGTCGACCGGCTTGCGTTCCAGTGCGTTCCAGAGGCCAAGCGCTCTGGAACACGGACTTTGTGGTGTGAACCAGCCCTAAGAGCTAAGCTCTGAGGAAGGGGGTGTGTCCCCGAAAGCGCACTAAGCACTCTAAGCATTAGCAGTGTTTACTGTGAGGAGAACAGAGTCTCCTGAGTGTCTCCTCGATCTCTCCTTCTGTTACATACACAGCAGCTATTCAATGAAGGACTGTCAGGCCATTTTGATGCTTTTACATACTGCCTTTTTTGTGAGTATATGTTTGCTTATGCTGTTATTGAATAAAAAGGTTTTACCTGCACCAGGAAAGGCACCTGGTCGTTTTTTGTTGGTCATAATGTTATGGCTGATCATTGTGTACTAATACTATTGCCAGCAAAAGGGTTGATTGCTTCACTGATATTACAGCTGCTGCATGTATATGTGTATATATATATACACACACACACACACACACATTGTATGCATAAATATCACAGGCATATTATGCTTGTCTCATTTACCAAACAACAGACTTATTTTCAAAGGAAGAGCTAACGAGAGTCTGAAATTTATGTGAAGGAAGTGACAGGTCCAGGTTTCAATCAGTAGTTAGTAGTGCTTGCTCTTAGGCCAAAGGTTTCCAGTCTCGTTCTGTACTGGCAGGATCAACAATAAAACTATGTTATAGAAAACTGGAATATATGTAATTTTTTATATGTTGTTCATAGTTATACTTTAAATCCTTTGTTGATTGATTATCTCATATGGTAAAGGTGCCACAGCACCTACAAATTGTAAATTTAGTAGACTTGAATATTGAAAGATTTAATTAATATGCTGTGTTGTAGGTGGTGTAACAGATAGCGGGATGAAAATCGGACAACTGCACGGTAAGTCGGTTTTCATAGTTGCTTTTTTACTTAAGTTTAGGATGAAAGTCAAGAACATGTTTTTTTTAAGATTTACTGTATAATTGTTAATCAAACTACTTTATGTCAACTTGTTTGCTCTAAAAGTACAGAAAGTTTATACTAAATAATTATAACTTCAAAGTGAACTTTGTTTTATTACTCCCTACAGGCTCATAAACATTGAAACTGTGCTCATGATTCTGATAAAGTGTGTGATTGGCTTGTCTTCTTACATTCTTCAGACATGACTAATACCTTGCCACAAATATATTTTACAATTTACAGTATATCCCTGGCTAAAGTGAACTTTCTAAGCCTATCCCTAACAAATTGTCACATGGTTGCATCTTAAAAGGGTTCCATTGATTAGTTAGGCATTTTCTCAATGTCTCACTTAGCCAAAGGGCATCAGGAAAAGAATTATGCATACCATTCTAAGCAAAACCTGTAATTTCTGTATCTTTGTATGGCCCCCACTGCTGTACTACTATTGCATTGTATAACCTAAGGGAATGGCTAGATATACTGTAAATGCAGAGTGTTCATAGAGCACTCTTCTGATAAAACAGAAGAGAAATTGAGTTAAAGGATAGAAAGTAAGACTAAGGAATTATGAAGAAATAACATTTTAGCTGGTCAACCTGTCACATATCTCACTTTTCTATAGAATAGCCATGGTAAACTGAAATGAAACACTAGGACAAAATGAGTGGACTGAGTACTTTTTTAGGCGTCCAAATTATGACTGTGCCTGCTTCCAAAAAGATTAGCGCTTTGGTAATTTACATTTTAGTAACACCTACAACTTAAAACAGTTTATTGCAGAGGAAGGAGCCATAAAATATTTCTAAAGTATTCAGCGGCAAAATTTCTTAACCACCTCTCTACCACCATATTATAAAAAAGTGACGGGGAGGTGGACATCTACCGTATTTTTCGCTCCATAAGACGCACTTTTTTCCCCCCAAAAGGAGGGGGAAAATGTGCCTGCGTCTTATGGAGCGAATCCCGACGCCCGAGACATGCAGTTTCGGGCGCCGGGCGAGTAGTAGGAGCCACTGCTCGTTTAATACGAGTGATCTAATGAGATCACTCGTATTAAAGCCGAGCAGCGGCGGCGGCGATCAAGTTCAGCAGCAGGAGCCACTGCTCGTTCAATACGAGTGATCTAATGAGATCACTCATATTAAAACCGAGCAGCGGCGACGATCGAGATCACCATAGAGCAGACGAAGAACGGACTTTCTTCGTCTGCTCTGTGTGATCACTGACACCGTGGCGCTGTAATCAAAGCGCCACCTGTCTCAGCGGTCACTTACTGAAGCTGTGTCAGAAGCTACAGTCTGTCGAGTGCTCCATAAGGCGCGCCGGACCTCCCTGCGTCCTATGGTCCGGTGCGTCTTATGGACCGCAAAATACGGTATTTCTTTTTAAAATGTCACTCCAGAAACAGCTGTTGGACGCTCGCTGTACCCTCTAATCTCTCTGTACTGAGTCATCCTACCAGTTACGGTGTGGTGATGTCACCACACTTGTACCCTATTGAGAAGTACAATCGCTCTGCCACAGTGCCAGATGGGAATTTTAGTCTCTCCATTCTCTGATCCTGTGAATCAATCTGTCAATGGATGATGTGGCTGTGTGGGTGGAGTCACATACAGCTATGCCAAGTTAAAAAATAACCAAGGGGGGGCGTGGTCTCGACATGGCCGAGTGAGCACGCAGGTCCCTTGAGCTCTGTGACCACCGACATCAGAAGCTGTTATAACTGACTATACCGACCCTGTACCGTGGATGCTCAGCCGCCGGAATCTTGCCAGCACTCCCGAGACCTCCAGGGGACCGGACTTACGCCACTACTTTTCGCCCGCGCAGACGCAGATTCCCGCCGGCCCGAAGCTCGCGATGGGGCCTACCAGAGCCTCGGACTCGACTGCCGCAGCCACTCCGCACAAGGGACAGGGTAAGACCCAGCCAGGACAGAGGGCTCCTCCTGTCCGCATCCCGAACCCCCCTGTCTCTCCCATAGCGACCCCACAGATTCCCAGCATGGATTCTGACAGGGGATCGGAGGGTTCTTGCAGCACGGCTAGCTCCCCGGGTGGCCCAGTCAAAGGCTGGAGAGAAGCCCTCTCCCTCCTACCGACTAAGGCAGATCTTGACAGTATGGCCTCTAAGATAGTGGCGGCCCTGCGGTCGGAGGTGGCTGAAGTGAAGCAGCAGATGGCTTCCATAGAGGGAAAGGTGGGCACACTGGAGACGACCTGTGATGAATATGCAATCAGGCTGGCTGCTCTTGAACGGGCCCAATCGGAATCTACCCAGCGCATGACCGCCATGTCCCTAGCTCAAGACGATTTAGAGAACCGGAACCGCAGAAAACGAATCAGAGCGAACCCTGACCTGCACGCGAGAACTGACGAACTCCCACTGGAATAGACCCCCCCCCTTGAGATTACTCCCCCTGCCCTTCCTATGGAGCCCCCTAATTAGCGTGGTGGTTA